CCCAAATTACCTTTTTATTTTTCTCATCCATGCATTCGTTTCCTTGTATTTTTTTTATTTAAAAATATGAGGGACAAATAAGTATTTTATGCCTGTGGATTTTTTAGGATGGAAACCGTCGTTAGGAACTGATCTATCGTTAGCCGTAACATCGACATCAACATCAATATTCAATTTCAAGCAGTTTACCCAATGGCGATGTCCATTTCTTGTTCAACATGTTATCAATCTGGAATTGAACACCACGCCCGTTCGTATTCAGCGGGAAAGTCTGGCGGTCTGATAAATACATCCTGGCTCTTTGTGCAACAAAGAGTCGCAAAATTCCACTCCCAGTTGGAATTGATTCCTTCTAGCGCTTTGGAGATTTCTTATATCAAGCACGTTGTGGAATAGAAACAATCCAGCACGAATGGAGCTTATAACCGGTTGTTGAGTACTACACCGACAGTATCTCACGAAGCTTATATTCAGTTCAAAGACTTCAATTCTTCAATTATTGAAGGCGAACCCTTAGCTCAAGCTCGAAATTTTCTTGTTATTGAAGACAAGCCCATAAGCCGTCAACACGTTAGGACATCTCGTGATTTTCTTATTATTGAATGCGAGCTTAAGCCTTCGCACTTCATGGATGGCTCATGGTTTTTTTATCATTGAAGGTAAGCCAGCTAGTCTTCTCACATCGGGACTGGATTATAATCCTTCTATTACCGTAGGCGAGCCTCCACCTCTTAATTCTTTTATTACTCCATCTGTCCCAATTATATATGCTGAGTTTTATTTTTCTCTTTTCCCAAATATTTAGGCATGTTTCCTAATATAGTATATTTTGTTGTGTTTCTTTACCAATATACCCTTATTAAATTTTTCCCACCTAAAATGCCAACTTCTTGAAATCATTTAAATACACATATTTCTCACTTCTTGGATACATGGAACAACTCTAATTTCTTCTTCTTCTTCTTCTTCTTCTTCTTCAAATTCTTTATTAATTCCCACAATAATTTAGTTGTACATACTGAAAATTAAATAGGGATAAATTAGGAAAGATTTAGAAAAAATTAATTTTCCAATGATATTAAAGAAACTTTCTTAATCCGTGTGAAAAACGAAACAAACCTATATAATTGAGACGGAGTGAGTATTAAATGTGACTCAATTAGTCAACACACATCGAGGTCAGATAGTGATTTTCTCATCATTGAAGGTGAGTGTAACATCGTGGATTTTTCAGGAATTTTTTCTTAGTCTTTTAGTGATTTTAATAAAGTTTAGGAGTTTGATGCTACTTTTGAAAACAAAAATTTAAGGGGGTTTTCTCTTCGTGTTTCAGTTTTTCGTTTTGAGTTCATTTTGGGGTTTCGTGTTTTGAGTGTCCATTTTGAGATTGTTGAAAATGTGTTCTTTTTGTCATTTTGAAAAATTATTTTCAAAAATAAAAAATTGAAAAACTCGTTCTCTCTCTCTCTGTCGTCTCCCTTGCAAGGCCACCAACGCCGAAGACCACGGTTGAGACTTGAGAGTCGCGACGAGCAGCGAGTGACGCTCCCTTCTATCGCCGGCTTCTTCATCTCTCTTTTTTAATTTTTTTTTATGCGGTGGTTGATTTGGGTGTTGTAGTAGTGTGTGGTGGTTGGGTGCATGGTGTGCTGGGTGGTTGGATGTTGTTCTTCTGTTGTGGTTGGGTTGCGACGTCGTTGGCTTCTTTTGCTATTGTGGCTACGGTGGTGGTTTTGGATCCTGACGTCGTCGTCGGTGGTTTTGGCGGTGCGACAGCGATGGTGTGGTGAAGGCGGCAATGGCGATGGTTTTTGTTGGTGGCGTAACTAAAAACAACCAAAATGCATTTTAAAAATTTTGGCTTTGTTTTAACTGAAAACACCCAAAACGACATTTTTAACTGAAAACACTCAAAAAATGGAATGAAAATGGCAAAGAGAATTGCCCCTAAGTTGATGAAAGTAAAATTTAGATATATAATCATTGTCCACTTACTGCACAATATGAATAAGAACGACCGCGGAATGCACGTCAATATGGATAATTATGAATAATTATGGCTTATAAGATTTCGTTGAGCGACACGATTAGGGCCACATTTTATTTTAATAAATTTTATAATTACATTTATGCCCATAGCCTCACCCACATAAACAGGGGACCCCTTTTAATTTGGAAACACACTGGCCCTCGCATGAGTTAGTTGTCGATTGGAAAAATGTATTTATTTTTAATTAACTTTTATATATGTAGAAATAATGAAAATAGTGTAGAAATGCTCCCCTCAACATGGGCACATATTAGAGTGAAAAATCCGAGGTGCCTATTGATGCCCAAATATTCCCTTTTCTATATTTTAAGCCCTGGTTTGACCCCCAATTCGATCACGTTAAGTGGTATGACCATTATTAACTTGCGAGTAATTGAACTATGCATATGTTTTTCAAAATATAATAATTTGAGTAAATAATGACAATTCCTACTTCGATACAAAGCATTAATGCATTGGAACGATGATATCAAGCATGATTATACTCATACAACATGCATTTATTATACTGTTATTCATAATGGACATGTAAATTTTGAGTTGAATCCTTTTGTAGTTGTTGTACCGTGTTCTTTTATGTATAGAAAGACAAACCTAAATGAGGCTTCTCAATGGTCAATCGGGGTAGCCGAGAATAGCGCATCGACATCTGGTATGTGAACGGTGTTGGGACCTCACGAAGTTGGCATAGGGGCTGGGACTCGACAAGACAAGCTCCGTATATGCGTAAGCCATGCCTAACATATGACTTGTGGTTGATTTATTTTGGATCATGTGTTATAGCCATAATGCACATTCCCTTAAGGAACAGATTGTGATAGCCTGCCTTCCTGCTTACCCTTGCATTGTCTTTTTCCTCCAATAGTAAAGAACTTAAAACGACACTATCATTATCGCTGTTTCATTTTCCTTTGATTCTTCGATTTCTGTGTTTATTTTTCTTTCATTTCATTTCCCTACTTGTCTTTGAAACAAACAGAGAGATGTAAAATGAACGTGGCATTTCCAATTTTCTCTCTGTTTGATTGGGATGTATTTTATAATGCAGAGAGCTTTTGTACATAGTTTAATGGCAAGCCATAAATGACTGAAAGTAACAAATCGATTCTGGGCTGTCACCCTTGCAGTGTATTCTTTTGTTTCACGGTTGTTACTTGTGTACCATATAATCTGCTTCAGGTTTGTCCACTTTGGGGCCTCTTTTTTGTATCAGATCCAGACAATTAATGGAACATTGTAGTTTCTTTCGAAAAAAATTTCCAGCATGATCATGTGCAACTTTTTTACCTCAACCTGTATAGGCTATAATACCACAAAAAATGAACTTTACAAGGCTGATACACATTACACAATCCAACTCTTTTGCTTTTCGTATACATGCTAGATAATACTAGACAGTAAATTGAACAAAATTTTAACTTCGTCACCAAGTCGAGCAATTCAACTTGCTCAACATACATTTGTTTTGGTTTTTTAACAATCCATGGCTGTATTGGGAACTGCTAAAATAAACGAATGAGTGGACTAAAGAAGGCAGTGGCTCTTTTCTTCTGCGTGTGGGGTATTTGGGGGGGGGGGGG